ACAAATAATGCGCAAGGAGCATTTCTATCCTTCTATGCTCATTTTGAGAAGAAAGGGGCCTAGCTAGATTAATTAGATAGCTCATCAATACAAGTGTTAGTTGAGCTAGAATAATGAAGTAGGCGATCATTAATTAGCCAGATATCTGAAACTTTTGTTGAGTGACATACGTAACAAGCAAGTCCAAAGTACTTGCAAGTAGAGACTAGAGAGATCAAGTGTGCACCACTGGGGGGTTTATGCACCGGCAAGCATGGACTAAGTCATAAATTGTTATAATAATTATGTTGCTAGGTGTAAGAATATTTATGGCTTATAGCAACTTAGAGAAAGAGAAGAACATGGGAATGTGAATCAGTCAGCGACACTTGCTGCTCACGCTTGGACGAGAGTCTCAACAAACAATTCACCAAGTTTAAACATCCATCTCGATCCCTCTAGAACCTTCTCACTCGCTCATTCAGCTGTACTCATGCATGTCAGCTCGCTTCACTCTGTTTTCACTATATTTTTGAACAAAATGTTAGCAAGATGATAGAACTTTGGCTAAATCGCACCTAAGTACCACAAAGTTTCTCAGCTAGCTATGCATGGTTCCTTTATTTCAACAGAGTGTTCCCATATAACGCTAACATGCTAATTTTATAACTTTTTAGTCATTAATATTTGTTAAATTTATTATTTGACATGTCCTAACTCTATTTTAAAGTAGAATTAGACGAGCTTAAAAATTAAATTTAATGATGTAATAACAAATTTAACAATACTAATAGTTGCAAGCTCTAAAATTAGCATGTAAGTATCATAGAGAAACATTCGGTGAAAATTTTCATATTTGTATGGCCGATTATATTAACGTGTCACTTTTTTAAACAATTTATGGTATTTTCTACGACCAAATATAACTTGTGATATATAAATGATAGGGCGGATGAACTTTGTAGTATTTAAGTGTAATTTTTAATCACAGATCTGTTAGAAATTAGTTGCTTTTAGGATGTAATTAGCACGAAATGCAGTTTTAACAATTAATTGAAATAGGAAAATAACAGATTTTAGATAATGATTCAAAATAGATATTTAATAATAAAATTAAACAGAGTTTAGAATATGGCCAGATGATCGAAGCGTGCTAGCCACTGTCCCAAGAATCTAATTGCCCCCTCTCGTACAAGGCTACGCGACAATAAGTCTCGGAGATATTACGACCCTTGGTCAGGCGATCTCCTTCTCGTCAGCACAAAAAAATATTTTGAAAAGAAGAAGAGGAGAAGATCTGTTGTGATTCACTGTGTTTCAAACCCTCGCAGTTATAGGTCATTTTATAGGTTGAAAACCGCCGTTTAGTTCCACACATCTCGCGTCCGTTTAGATCCACAAATCTCGCGCCTGTTTAGATCCGCCAAACTCGCGATCTAAACAGCTAAGATCTGATCCATGTTTATCACGTTTAAGTTGTTCCATTTCCTATCCAATGTGGGCACCTTAATCCGGAGTTGCATTCGAGTCCGTAGGGTCGTGGGCGCACGCCTCCTGACCCAGACCCGAGCCTGACCCTGTACGGTTCGTCGCGCGCATGTGTGGTGTGGAGAATAACCCATATTTTTTTCTAGCCATAGGAGAGAAAGAGAAGGCTTATAAACAACCCTCATTCTCATCTCCTATCCAATATGGGACTAAATTTCCCCACTCCAAAATCAAGTTTTAATTTATAACTTCAACAAGATCACTAAAAGAAATCAGAGTAAACTATAGTAGAACACAGAGATTTAACAAGATTTTACAATCTACGTGACCCTCTACATATTGGGAGTATAACCATGTAACGAGCCCATAAATAATAAATGAAGACCATAGTCCATCTCTCAAAATATTAATCTCATTTCCTCGGCAGCTTCTATTACTCTTTTTTTTGGATACAACTTCAATTGACGATTGAGATATATATTTATGTCATAGGTTTATGGTTCAATTTACTAAATACCAACAAGTCACACAGAGTTTTATTAAATAAAAAAAGGATCTAAAAACCAATGTTTTCGGAGCCTAAAAGCCCAACTTGAATCCTATATAAATCTAAAGTAAGCTCTTCAACGTTTTGGCCCACAAAGCCCAAAGAGATCACATTTATCGTGTATATCCACTCTCTTCTTTACCGCCTCTTAGTTGTTAACGTCACCCCCAAAATCAAAACTCTACGCAAACCTAGCTCACGAGATCTGAACCCTAACAAAGCTTGCTCTCCGAGGCCAGCTTGGGCATCGATTATCATCACCGCCGTCCGATCACCGGCGATGGACTGCTGTTTCCGTACGAACCCCTTCCGCCTCTGCTCCGGCCTCAAGGTGCTCGGCTCCTACTACGCCGTCGTCTTCGTCGTGTGGGGCCCCAAACTCCTGGACGGCGACGCCCTCGCCTACTGTATAATCATCACCTTCAATATCCTGGTAAAAAAGATTTCCTTTTGATTTTGACTGTTGTTAGAGCATCTCCGACACTACTCTCCAAATTGGAATATTGCTAGAAATATTCTAATTTGGAGAGTGGAATTTGGAGATTTGCTCCAACCCACACTCTCTAAATATTTTTCTTTTTTTTTCAAAAAAAGTCATATAAATTAATAATGTTGGATATAGTTTATATTAATAATTTTATTTTTAGTAATTTATTTGAAAAAATAATAACATTAGAAAGGTGTCGGTGTCGACGAGAGCTTTAAAATGAACCCAATATTAATAATGCAATACAACATATAAAAAAATAAAATCTAAATAACAGTGACAAAGCATACATCGATAGAACAATGAAGCAAACATAAACCTCTAATATAACATACCATAGATTACAAATATAAACCTCAAATATAAAATTTGATAACAGACAATTAAAATAGGTTATTACTTGACCGATGAGATATACCCCAAATGGTCTACTCTTGTACAAACAATATCCCAACCACAAGGACCTAAGAGGCAGCTCTTTGCTGCTATGCAAGAAGGATATCGAAAAGATGTAGAGCGGGTTTTTGGTGTTCTTCAGTCACGATTTGCCATTATCAAGGTGTTTTCGTCGAAAGTTGCCTTCATCATTGATTTCATTAAACTTCAATCGTTACAAATGAATTCAAATAACAAAGAAATAAAAATTACAACTTTCTTGAAAATAAACGCAAGATTCGTTTATCGGCTCCTGCTTGCGTGGGTCTTTGGCCTGTGACGGGGACGTCGATATCCGTGGACTACCTGGCACTCAGATCTGTTCCTGAAAAATCGGACAGAGCTTCGTCGATCCGCGAGAGATCTAGAAGCTTGAAGCGTCTATCTCGACTAAAACGAGATATCTGCTCTTCTTAGGATTACCGGCGAAGGGTAATACCAAGGAACGGGCACGGGTGATGAAGAATCTGATGAAGACCTCTCCTCTGTTGAAGCGCTCGACCACTCTTCACTGCAGCAGGGCTTCGCCAACTTCTCCAAAAATCCAGATCTCCAAAAATAAGGCCTTAGGTGGCTATTTATAGGCAATGGGAGCACCTAGGGTGCCTAGACACCCCTGGGTGTCTCGGCCAGGCCGAGACACCCCAAGGGTGTCTAGGCTTTTCCTAGACACCCCTGGGGTGTTTCGACTTTCCCGAGACACCCCGGGTGTCCCAACTCAGCCTGAGACGCTCCGTTGCGTATGTTTGATTGTTTTCGCCGTAAATTCTTCGTCCGAACTCGGATTTGAGTGATTCCAAGTGCGTTGGAAGCTTGACGAAGAGTTCTATCTGCTCCAATGGTTGGATTATCTGTAGAGTAAACGAGATATGAAGGGCGTTGCTCTTTTTGTGAACATCGCAGGGTTCCCGATTGGGATTCACTTCAATCGTTCATCGACGTCAATTGAACTCCTGTGGATCAGATAGTGACGTTCATCGTCGCTCTTTAACACTGAACCGTTCGTGGAGACCTATAGGCAATTTTCGATGCCTACAGATACCCCCTCCAAAGCGTTCCGGACTCGTTTCTTCTACAGAAGAGGCTGGAATACTTTGGATGTGATTGGTCTAGCCTTCAGTCGGCGTAAGGACCTGTAGTTAACTTCAACTCTTGGCTCCTTCGATTTTCGGTCTATTCGATGCTTTGACGAATAGCCGAAGTTCTTCCGGCGCTGCGTTTATCGCTTGGCCGTCGTCGGAGTCTCGAGTCTGCAGCTGATGAATTGAGTTTGGCTCGTGTCATTGAGTTGACCTTGAACTACCTCCGTCACATTGTGTTGACTTAGGGTTTCAGATCATCGTGTGTTGACTTTTTGTCGCAACGCGTTGACTGGCGTTGACCTAGGGTTACGCGTTGACCGGCGTCCACCCTAGGGTTTCGGATCGTCGAACGTTGACTTTCGTTTGCAACGCGTTGCTTGGCGTTGACCTAGGGCTACGCGTTGACCGGCGTTGACCCTTAGGGTTTCGAATCGTCAAACGTTGACTTTGGTCGCAACGCGTTGACTGGCGTTGACCTAGGGTTACGCGTTGACCGGCGTTAACCCTAGGGTTTCGAACGTCGAACGTTGACTTTTTGGTCACAACGCGTTGACTGGCGTTGACCCTAGGGTTTCGAACGTTGACTTTTGGTCGCAACGCGTTGACTGGCGTTAGCCTAGGGTTACGCGTTGACCGACGTTGACCCTAGGGTTTTGAATCGTCGAACGTTGACTTTTTATACTCGTACGTTTACTGGAGTATACACAGTTTAAGCTCTTAAGGTATTGGAGCACAGTGGTCCCAAGTGTCGGAGTTGCAGGACCAACTATGAAAGTTGATTCCTCTGCACGTGTGGATCTTATCCCTAAGTGATTGGATGTTCGAGTTACGAGACCAACTGACGGAGCTGATGCGTCAATGACTCGTATTTATAGAATTTTTGGCAAATTCTCAGCCATCAACGGGTTTGATGAGCCTTTACCGACTACCGTTTGAGTCGGGCTAGCATGCAGATTGTTTAGATCCGTTCTGCACATAACGTTGTGCTAAAAGAGTTAACTCTTTTAGTGCTACGATGTTGAATACGTAGACTTCGTCTTGTGTTAGGTACTGACTTATCCTTACTTAGGATTCAGGATAAAAATCCCCAGACTCGGATTCTGGTGTCTTCTTCAATCGGTAAAAGACTAAACCGGCAACGCGTGTTAGGCGTTGACTTATCCCTACTTAGGATTCGGGATAAAATTCCCTGTGCGTGTGAGGCACGGATTATGGTGTTATTAATAACAACCTGTCACAATGTTGAATATATGGTCTTTTATCCTTTTTACGGTCAAAGACTAACCGGCAACGCGTATTAGGCGCTGACTCATCCCTCCTTAGGCTTCGGGATGAAATTCCCCAGACTGGAATTCTGGTGTCTTCTTCAATCAGTGAAAGACTAAACCGGCAACGCGTGTTAGGCGTTGACTCATCCCTCCTTAGGCTTCGGGATGAAATTCCCCAGGCTGGAATTCTGGTGTCTTCTTCAATCGGTAAAAGACTAAACCGGCAACGCGTGTTAGGCGCTGACTCATCCCTTCTTAGGCTTCGGGATGAAATTCCCCAGACTGGAATTCTGGTGTCTTCTTAATAACCTGTCACAATGTTGAATATCTGGTCTTTTGTCCTTTTTACGGTCAAAGACTAACCGGCAACGCGTATTAGGCGCTGACTCATCCCTCCTTAGGCTTCGGGATGAAATTCCCCGGACTGGAATTCTGGTGTCTTCTTCAATCGGTGAAAGACTAAACCGGCAACGCGTGTCAGGCGTAGGCTTATCTCTATTTAGGAGTTGAGATAAAATTCCCCGTACCTGTGAGGCACGGTTTTTGAGGGTTGAAAAGGTGGTGTCTTTTCTTAGGGCAAAGACGAACCCGATGCGGGAGAGGAAGAATTTTATATTCTATCTCCCGATACTGAAGAAGAAGAATTTTATATTCTATCTTTAGCTGAAAAGGAGACTCGAGGTGGGATCTCCACCCCCAGAATCCGGAAAGGTAAAACTAAAAGTGGGATCTCCACTCTGAGAATCGAAAAGATTCAAATAACCCTAACTGTCGGAAGGTTTGATTACCGAACTAAAGACGAATTTCTCATTTATCGAGAGTGAATTATGGTTTTGACCCTAACTGTAGGAAGGTTTGACCAAATGGGGGTTTGAGGTGACCCTAACTGTAGGAAGGTTTGATCACTTGATTTGAAAGTGGACCTCTCGTTCATGGAAGGCATCGAGAGGGGATTTTGACTGTGGTCCTAACTGTAAGAAGGTTTGACCAAGTGGGTGTTTTGAGACAATCCTAACTGTAGGAATGTTTGATCGCTCGATTTGTGAACCTCTCGTTCATTGGGGGAATCGAGAGGAGATTTTGGTTGTGGTGTTAACTGTATGAAGGTTTGACCAATTGGGAGGTTTGAGACAATCCTAACTGTAGGAAGGTTTGATCGCTCGATTTGTGAACCTCTCGTTCATTGGGGGAATCGAGAGGAGATTTTGGTTGTGGTCCTAACTGTATGAAGGTTTGACCAGATTATATCCGGACTCTAACTATGAAAGTTTTGAGTGCACGAACATAGCGGAAGTTTGAATGGATTGAACTTGATAGAATTTGGTGGTCCCACCGTCAATTAGTCTGATCGGTAGGGGACTTAGTGTTCATCACTTTGTTCATATTGATCGGGTGATCCCTAAGAGTATTAACATTCTTTCGGGAACTTCCCGTTACACGAATTATCCACCCCCAGCTTTCTTGCAAAACTGGGTGTAACGAGGAGTACGTTATCCTCAATCGCATGTTCAGGTTATCCTTGAGAATATATGATTCTTTAGGAACTTCCCGTTACATAAATCGTCCACCCCCAGCTTTCTTACTAATGAGATAATTGTCATCTTTAGTTACAACTTTTCGAGTTACAAAAGATCCGGTCTTTTATAGATCCGGTTACAATTAAATCAAAGAAAATAAAGAAAAATTACAACTCTCCTCTGTGAACAAATCACGAGCCAAAACTGGGTGTAACGAGGAGTACGTTATCCTCAATCGCATGTTCAGGTTATCCTTGAGAATATATGATTCTCTAGGAACTTCCCGTTACATAAATCATCTACCCCCAGCTTCCTTTGCGGAACTGGTTCGGATATTATTCTTAGTTACTTGACCGGGTTATCCTTAAGAATATTAGCGTAATATTCTCCAGGAACTTCCCGTCAAAAGTGGGAAACAGTTTAGACTCATATACCTATTGGAGTATGTAGGGAGCAGTTTAACCTCATGCACCTGTTGGAGGATTGAGAAGCAGTTTATACTCGTATACTCTTCGGAGTGTTGAGAAGCAGTTTATACTCGTATACTCTTCGGAGTCTCAGGGAGCAGTTTAACCTCTTATACCGGTCGGAGGATTGAGAAGCAGTTTATACTCTTATACTTGTCGGAGTATTGGCTTCAACCA